CAGTCAACCATAAGCAGCTTCGAAGTTGGTACATGTGTGCACTGCTTCAAGTTGTCATACCGAATCATTACAGTGTGATAAATCCCAGAATAGTAGAAGTAGTAACAGTATCAGAAGTGGTATATAACATTAAAGATAGACAATATGATTCAAGAAGGAGGAACGAATTCGCGAAACAAAAGTATCAAATAATCTTTGAAACTCTAGATTCAAAAGAAGACAATGAGTCAATGGATCTGTGTTATTGAGACCACTTCTGATCAGTGTCACCCAAAGTCTGTGACTGAGAAAGGTATGAAATAATAAAACTAAAATGGAATTATCCAAATCATAAGCATACAATGCACCATTGTAAACATCTTCATGTCATGCCTCCATTTGTTGTCTGTACTAATGAAGTTGTATATTCTCCCTCATATAACTGATTTCTATTGATCAAACTTAAACGTAGACAGTTGTTAGGTAAGTCAGAATGGTCCAAAACATCTACGGTTATTGTTAATCCGAGTTAACAAATGTAAAAAAAACTCTTTTATGTTTGAAAAATTACATGTTTTACATTAGTTTTTAGTGTAGGATTTTCGACTATTTAATTAACCCTTTAGTATACTTGATAAATCACATGCTATATCAGGGTCACATGGTGAATCAGATGTAAATGTAAGTATCGTTTACATGTATGTATGCTAATAGCCAAGGTAAACGCCTACGTATTCATGCAAATTGGAGAAACTACAGTGTACCTAGACTGTATACATCAATATGTGGCTTTTGATAGTAGAATTCCCCCTTACAGTTTCAATTTTCACTGTATAGCTGATTGGGTAGCCGATAAGGCTGTTGAAAATGATCAATTCAATATACATAGTTTCTTCATCATATTGAAGAGAGTATAGTCGAAGATTTGAGCAGAATAACATGAATTTGTTTTATTTCATTAGGTTCTCGTCAGCTGCTTACAACCTGTAATATTTAAAAACTATAGTTACTAATTAGATTGAAATCACTTACATAAATAAGTTTAGTTGGGAATTCTTATGAACACACATTACTATATTTATCATTATTTGAACACATATATATTGATACAAAGGGGCGCCGAATACACGTGCGCTACACATGTCACTGGATTTGAGTGTGGGATGTGATGCTATCGTGGTGCCCAAACTGAAACTGGCGGTTTTCTTAGAGGGCCACATTCGGAAACTTCGACCTAAAGGTGTGATCCATAAGGTAGTGGAGAAACGTAAGGACATGAAGTCCCATAGTAGTCGGTGACAAACAATTGGTTCATACTCCATTCGTTACTTCGCTTGTAAAATGGAAAATCGAAAATATTGCAAATTTAACTTTCTTTCACATAGATGTAATCTGAGTTATTTACTTGGAACTTTAAAGAAATGTGATAGTTAATACTGTGTTCATTCCATGTTCCCTTTTTCGTCAGTGTTAATCAATAACAACCATATTCTACATTAACTTTGTATTACTTGTTTGAATCTTCCCATCGATGTGTTAGGACTGCAACTGGTCAGTCTCTAATTGGCATATATGCATATTGTGCGTATTGCCTTAATTCACAAGCATTATAAACAAAGATGGATAGTAGCTAACAGTGGAATCCAGGAAGCGCATTTCGTCTCACTTGAGACTCGTCAGCTGGATGTGCCTGCATCTCACAGTTGATGTTCACTCTGGGACTCGAACGTAGTACCTTACGCTTCAAACGCCATCGCGTTATCCATTCAGCTACAGGGTCCTGATAGCTACTTGCTTGTGCAATGTGGTGAAGTTTAAACTCACTAAGTATTACTTGTTTGAATCTATCCTACATTGTTGAGTATAGTGAAAATTCTTAATCAGGAGTTTTTGTGGAGATTCCAATGTTTTCATAGTTGAAGGCGTCAGTCAATTAAAGCTAGACCACCAAAGAAAACCTGGAAGCACTGGACGTCCTCACGCTTTCAAATATGAAAATTCTTAATACTTAAGAAATGTACCTCCAGATATTATCATGAAATACTAAAGGTTAGCCAGTAGGTAAGTGGACAACGCGATGGCTTTTTGGGGTGAACAGTACTGGGTTCGATTCCCAGAGTAAATATCGACTCTGAGATGCATGCTCATCCAGCTGACGAGCCCCAAATAGGACGAAATGTGCGTCAAACTGGATTCCACTACTAGCCATTATTCATCTTTGCTTATAATGCTTGTGATTTAAGACAATATCTAGGCCGTCCGTCTGTCCAGGATGAACATATGCTAACAAGAGACTGGTCAATTACAGTCCTAAACATCAATGTGAAGATACAAGTAAACAACACTAAGTGAATTGAAAGGTTAACCAGTTATAACTTTAACAAATTGTCAAATTTTAGATTTAATTGAATTTTTGTGATGAACTTTCAAATATACCCTACTATTTTGATTACATATTGTAATCCTAATAGATATGAGATCAGGCAAGTGTTTTTCATTCTATACACCTCTCGAATCGAACTTTAAATTAACACTATGGATAAGAACAAAGAAGTTATTAACCAATCAGCATGATGAAAATAATTCATTACAAATTGATTGGTTAATAATACATAAGATAATAATGCTTGATTAAGGTTGTTTTTTTTTAACCAATCAAATTTCAGTATCTCGAACAAGATCATGTCATCTAAATGGCAAGTTCTATAAAGTGTTATGTTAGTTCGTCAAATACAAAGCTTATATTCCTACATAAAATTTCCCTGTAAAAACCACAAATTTAGTTAAACCTGTTTGAAAAAAAACGAGTCAAGAAAAGCTTCTTCTATTGATAAGAGATATTCTATTTATAGTGATTGTTTCTAGCCCGTAAAATATTCAGTTGGTGAGAACACCAACTTTTTAGGCTGTAAATATATTTAGTATTAGGAAATGGTTGTTTAAACGTAAGTAGGTTAACTAGGTTATTATAGGTGGATTGCTAGATATTGACTAAATTATCGCAATGGGCTGACTGGGGCGGAGACGTGGAGAACTACAAAAGCCATTATCCAGAAGATACAGGTGTTTATTAACAGTTGTATACGCAAGATACTTCGGATCCGTTGGCCAGACACTATCAGCAACAAGTTACTGTGGGAGACAACAAACCAGATTCCCGTGGTGGAAGAAATCAGGAAGAAGCGCTGGAAGGTGGATAGGACACACTTTGAGGAAATCACCCAACTGCGTCACAAGGCAAGCCCTCACAGGGAATCCTGAAGGCCAAAGGAGGAAAGGAAGACCAAAGAACACATTACGCTGAGAAATTGAGACAGACATGAGAAGAGTGAACAAAAGTTGGATAGAACTAGAAAGGAAGGCCCAGGACAGAGTGGGTTGGAGGATGTTGATCGGCGGCCTATGCTCCATTGGGAGTAACAGGCGTAAATAAGTAATGAGCTGACTGACATTGAAACGTTTAAATTCCTACTCGAGAACGTTGACTATGTTACCGGAAAAAATCGAACTATAACTGAAGCTTTACTTCCAAAATAGACAGGTACATATTTATATGCCTATTGAGATTTATAAGTGGCTATAGTCTCATATTCCATTTAGATTATCACGTACATTACAATTCTCAATAATAACTAATGCTTGTGACCACTCAGTTCTGATGTTTTGACGTTCAGATGGAAAATATGAGAATCGGCACCTTTTATCAGTTGTGTATTTTGAAATAATAATGACGTTAGTCCAGGAGAAAAAAAATCTTTTAAATCATTTCGATCATTAACGATATGCTGATTCTTTAGATTCGATTCTGTGACATTTGTAAAGAGTTGTGTAGTGACCTGCTTTTTTCGACGAGAACGTGATTGGTATAATAGAAACAATTATTATTATAACCAATTGTACCAGTGATTGTTTTACTGTACTCGTTTTGTTTAACTGTATCAAAATCACTTTTCGTTCGGTTGTTTATCTTGTCCGTTCAAACTTTCTTACGCTCTGCTCTTTTTGCCTGTAATCTTTGGCACGTCTCGGTATTCATTCGATACCACGAGATTGCCAATAAATATACTTTATCTGGACCAGTTACAGCCTTCTGGTTTACGACCTATTGAAGGAATCAAGTCGTTTTCGGGCGCGTTATCTTACTGTAGTGGTGATCATAGTCAATTGAGACTCGACAGCATCTATAGTTACGTGTACGTTATTCAACTGATGACGAAGTAGTACGTATTATACAACATTCATTATTCATATGTAGTGATAACTCTAATCTACTCATCAATGATATGGGGTTCACCTAAGGATCACATAAATTCGTGAGTTTGTTTTTATCAACACACTAACAAATAACGCAATACGAAGAACGAGGAAAAAAACACTAATTATGAATTTCATCCCAATTACCTGACATTGTATCATCATAATCAGAAATATTTTAAAAAAATGGGGGGGGGGCGATGTGGTATGGCAAGTTGAACTGATGTACGTACGTACGTACGAAGTTCTACGTTGTGACTGACTGACTGATTGCATGGATACAAGTGAACATATATTCTGTTATATCACAAACACTGTGCATTAAAAAGTGAAAAATCTCTCGTTTCTGTTACTAACAAAGGAAAAATAGAATGAATCTGTGAAGGGAAACAATGATTTCATTCATATGAGATTTACTAAATATCTAAAAGTTGAAATCATGAATCAATTGAAGCTAGACCACCATGGAAAACCTGGGAGCACTGGACGGCCCTTTCGTCCTACTATGGGACTCCTCAGTAGTGCGCATCTACGATCCCGCACTCGCAAGATTCGAACCCAGGATCTACCAGTCTGAAGCCAGAGCCTTTAACCGACAGGCCACTGAGCTAGCCGGCATCCAACGGTGTTAATGTCTAACTTCAATCGATCCACGAAATTGAGCAACCATTCACCAATGTCATCAGAGAGTTGATATCTCCCGACAGACCTGGTTGAACTCCACTTCCAACTAGAACTCCAGAACATGTATCTTGAAGTCAGTCACTAGTGAGCATATGATTATAATCAGAAATATCTAAAAGGAAAATATGTTCATACATGCAAAGATGAATAAACAATGAGACAACCGTAAAAAAAAACAACCAAAAACCATAACAAACATCAACAGGATAATTTATGTACAGAAATAAGAGATAAAGGATAAGATTGTAATTTATGCAAATTCAGGGGGGGGAGGTATTTATAGAATCGAATATTTTTTCGGGGAGAATATAGTGAGAGGGTGGAGTTGGAAAATAACATTTTTTTTTTAAAAAAAAATAATGATTTCTATTGAATGATAGAAAACTAAAGGTAAATTAAATAAAAGACATAAATTAGAGGGTAGGGGATCTTGAAAGAATATGTGTTGTTGTTTTTCTTTTTGTTTTAAAAATTGTGATTACTCATCTATAGGAAACTAGAGTAATGATGAGTAGGGTTGGTAGTAGTAGTAGTAGTAGTAATAGAGTGAATGGAATAGTAACAATAATAATAATGAGAGTAATGTTATTAGTGTTAGTAGTAATAGTAATGGAAGTAAACGAAGGCCTAGGACAGAGTGGGTTGAAGAAAGTTGATCGGCAGCCTATGCTCCATTGGGAGTAACAGGCATAAGTAAGTAAGTAAGTAACAGTAATGTAATATTTTAATTATTAATCCATAAACCTTCCAATTAGTTCCAAGTGATAGTCATCATTATATCCAATTCTAATCATTAATTGTTAAACTGATTGATCAGTTTTATAACATTTCATTTCAAGAAAAGGGGAATACAAAGAGAGAGACAGAGAGGGGGGGGGAGAGAATGATGCATACCAACTAGTTTTTTATTTATTTATTGATATGAATTACGCAATGGATTTGTAATAAATTTCTTCATTTGAACAAGATCGTTTCTTTGTTTCGATGCGTGATTGTTATGATGATGATAGTGATCACCATCATCATCATCATCATCCGTTGACCAATTTGTAAGAAATTTTAATATATCTGATAATGAAATGATTCCTTCAACTTTGTTATTTTCATCAATAATAATTAAACGATGTACCTAGTAAGATAAGAAATAAAAGAAAATTTTGAACTTCAACGATTGATCAAAATAATTTCAGGGATTGAGATATTTACTACTTTGCATTCATCTCAACATCTTCAGTTGAATCTTAGATGTTGGAACTATTTTCAGAAGAGGAAACTGATAGGATAGGATGGGATAAAAAACCAAACCTATATTTTAACTCATCATGATCTTTGTTCAATACTAATTCCGTTTTGAATTTAATATAATGGTGGAGAAGATTTGTAGCTCAGGTGGGTGATTTTGATGAAGTTTTGTTCTCTGAGCTGGATGGTTTGATCGTGGAGCTTTCATCGTCCTTCTGAACGATGATGATGTCATTTAGAAGGACAATGAAAGCTACACGATCAAACCATCCAGCTCAGAGAACAAAACTCCATCAAATTCAATATAATGTTTATCCAGTGTAATATTTTGTTTTATTTTCGGTGTGACAATTTCAGTTAGTCACAAAGTAGAACTTCGTACGGACGTACATCAGTTCGAGTTGCCATACTACATTAATACAAAGACGTAGTTGTCAATTCAAATCCCATAGTGGTAGAAGTAGTAAGAGTATAAGCATTAATAGGATAGATTAGTGTTTGAAGATGTTATTCAAGGGGTGTAATCCAGTGAAATAAATTTGGAAAGAGAAAAGAGAAAGGGATATGAAGAATTCAGAATATTATAATTTGGTAGAACACAAAGAGTGGATGCACCTTCTCCATTGCAAACGATTTTGAGCCATATCATTCAAGGTCTCTAACCATCGGTTGCTATCATCTCGCGGATCCCAACCAAGTAGTCTAACACCTACCAACATGGCTCAGTACACTTGTCAATGACTTCATGGATTAGTGCCACATTTTGGTCCGGCTAGCCGTTAGCTTTCTTCCTACCTACTCCCACACCATAACATTGATTTAATTCAGTGGGATGTTTATTCAAGTTATAATATTCTTTGTAATAATTCATAGTGAAATTCATAGTTCTAGTTTATGCAGTAATTCTGTGCACTTACCCTGTGTGTGTGTGTGAGGGAGAGAGATAATCATATGTAAACAACAATCACGACGAGTTTAAAATGTAGATTTAGCTTTTTATCCTATCCTAACAGTTTCCTCTCCTGAAAATTGTTCCGACATCTGAGATTCAAATGAAAACGTTGAGATGGGTGCAAATCAGTAAGTATCTTAATCCTAATAGAGATAGATCAGTCAACTTTAGAATACTAATATTGTATTGAGAAATTAGAAATGAAGGTGGGAATATATTCAATCTACAATCTTCGATGGAATATTTTCAATTAGTGAAATTGTTTACTATTGAATGATTTTGATGGAGTTTTATTCTCTGAGTTGGATGGTTTAATCGTCGAGCATTCATCGTCCTTTTGAACTACATCATCAACACAAACTTTGAGTAGAATTGAAATGTTTGAATTTCTCTATATGTGATTCACAGCTTGTCCTATTGAATGATCATTGAGTTATAACCAATATAATTATATTTGTGTAATCTTTCAAGTTTATGACTTCTTGCTGACTACTTCTAACTATCTAACATAGAAAAAACTGGACTCTCAATATTGAATCAATGAGATTAGTGGATGAATTCGATTACCAGTAAGGAACACACCAACTAATACATTGGTCACTTTTCAGTGACTGATCCATTATTAAGTATCTATCCTACAAGAGATCAGTCATAACCTGAATAGCTTCGTGATAATCTTAATCCATTGAACTTGAAATGAATCTTGATTGAATAGAATGAATCCATTGTCTATTTTAATTTACGTGACTTCAAATAGATGACAATCATCATCATTGTTGTTGTTATTTTGAATACTAAAAATAAACAATCTGTCTACTAGTTTCCTTTGTTTATTTATGTATGTATGTTTATGTTTGTGTTTATGTCTATATACACATACATACACAATCTATTTACACTTTATATATTTGTTTTTATTAATAAGAAGATCAGAAGGGGTTTTTGTGGAATATTCAGTATATGAAAATAATAATTCGAGGATGATTATCACAGCAGATCATGTTTTAAAACAAACATGATAGAATATATAGAACATAAGAATAAAGATCAATGGATATATACGGGGAGTTGAAATCATGAGTCAATTGAAGCTAGACCACCATCGAAAACCTGGAAGCACTGGACGGCCGTTTCGTCCTATTATGGGACTCCTCAGCAGTGCGCACCCACGAACCCGCTCTCGCGAGATTCGAACCCAGCCCATAACCGACAGACCACTGAGCTGGCATCCAACGGTGCTATACGGGAAGAGTTAATGATGGTCCAGAAGTGTTATATTTATATGTGGGAATTTTCATTTTAATGCTTATTGTATATGATGATGATGGATTTATTATTTTTGGAAAAGAGTTAAGGGTGGTCAAATAAAAATGTGGCATCATTCCTTGAAGTCACTAACTTCTAGTCCGAGTCATATTGGTAGATTTAGACTACTTGGTTAGGGTCCGCGTGACTATCGCGTAACCAATGGTTGGAGACTTTAGGTGATATGGCTCAGAATCGATCACAATGGCGTAGGTGTGTGCACTTTCTGTCTTTCCTTAAACCTTGAGATTAAAATTGCTTCAGATCTCTCTTTCTTCGTGTACTACATCCTTATATACAACCTATCTTTTATATAATACTACCACTAAATTAATCACTTCTATGAATCCGGTGTTCATCTTGTTTTGCTAATGAGGTCTGGCAACTTGGACCGATGTATATGTGTGCCTGTTCCCACATTGTAGCTAACTGATATTATTCAACTACGTCAATAGTAAAGGGGGATAGTTTGCAAAATTATTGGAATAGAATATTTTAGGAGATATTAGAAGGTTTTTCACAGTTGAATTTCAAGAATCAATCTAAGCTAGATCCCCATTGAAAACGTGGAGGCACTAGATGCCCGTTTCGTCTTAGTTACAGCCTCCTCAGAAGTGTGAGTCCATGACTATGCACACTCAGGACCTTTGGTCTCTCATACGAACGCTTAAACTCTAGATCACTGAGCCTGCATCCAGTAGTGTTAATATCTAACTTCAATCGATCCATAATCTTACTCAACCATTCATCTATTGTTTGAGGTAGAATACTTGTCTCTACCTGACACAGATTGATGTCCACTGCTCATAGCTTCTCACTAGAACTCCAGGAAATCTATGTTGAAGCTAGTCACTAGTGAACTAATGATTATTTTCATTTATGAAAATTGTAATATTAATAATATAATGATAACACTAAAAGTTTACTAAAATCACAATCTGTCACATAGCACAGAGAAGATTAAATGAATCATCAGTCAACTCAATCATATCTTACTTTTAGATGAATTTTATGAAATTTCTTAATAGAAAACTATGTTCTATGTTTTATTTAACTAAGTTAAAAGTCAATTGAAGCTAGACCACCATGGAAAACCTGGAAGCACTGGACACCCGTTTCGTCCTATTATGGGACTCCTCAGCAGTGCGCATCCACGATCCAGCCTTGTGAGATTCGAACCCAGGACCCATGATTTCAACTATGAAAATACTGAAATCTCCACAAAACTCCTTCTGATCTAAGTTAAAAGTGACAATAAACAATGATAGTGTTATATCATAAATTGACTGATTTCTTAACATAATGTTTAATATAATACCTGAAGTTAGTGGATAGATATATCACTGTCGTATTGAGTTGTATAATGAAGATTGATGAGAAGTTTTGAAATGAAAGTGACATTCCTTTTTTTCTTTAATTATTGTTACTTTACTAGATTGTAATATGGGTTACTTATATCCACATAAGTAGTATATGACGATGGTCAGACATTAAATGTATTTCAGTAGAACTTTGATAAGGAAAGGACAGAAAAGGAACGCAATAGGTATGAAAATGTATGGACAATGAAATCAAAGACGATGAACTGATATTTGCAGAAGGAATAGTTAAGATTGAGACAATTGATTGGTAGTTTGCAAATTAACTATCTACTATATGGTTGTCAGATTTTAGTGAGATATTTTGTAATTTTGGCCTTAGATACATTCGGTTGTCTCCACTCAAGTTCAATTTGTAATGAAAAGAAAAATCACCTTTAGATTATACAAAATGTAATGCAAATTATTTATACAGAATGAGAGATGATCATATTGTGTTGATAGACTGGTATCAAACTCTGCCTGTAGCTCTTCTAGAATTACTGCCGGTCTCAAGCCCGGGTAAGGGAGGAGGTTTGGGCATGGGGTTAGCGACCCCATCCCGTAGAAAACTAGCTCTCTAAAAACAACGCTAACCATAAAAAAGTAATTTAAACTGTGCCCGGTATCAATAATTTTAACTGTTTAGAAGTTGATTTGAATTATCAACAAACATATGATGTTACATGTTCGCCCTCGAATGCCCTGGTACAGCCAAGAGTGGGGGGAGTCAGCTCTCCCTCTCTAAATGCTCTAACATGGTCACGCGTATATAGCCTCTGACAGGGGAAGTCCTACTCACTGCCTTCTCACACCACGGGTGTTGTTTACGAAATTGGGAGGACGAAAAGAGAATGTCCGGTGCTTTAACCAGGTTGATGGACACGGAAATTACACCTAGGTGAGTTTGAAAACCCTGATTTCAAACCAATGGTGCACATGGTCTCCAGTATCCTAGAGAAACAAATAGCGTATCAATCAATCGTTGGTCACCGGCTACCATGAGACTGCATCTTCTTACGTTGCTCTACTGCCTTGTGGATCAGATCTTTAGGTCTAAGTCTCCGTGTGTGGCCCCTGAGAAAACCACCTGCTTCGGTTTGGGCATCTGTGCAGTATCATAGCCCTCACACAAATCAAATGAGATTTGTGTGGCACATATATATTTGGTGCCCCCTTGTACCAGTATTTATGCGTTTAATAATAATAATAATAATAATAATAATAATAATAATAATAATAATAATTGTTGTTCACATATGATTATCTCTCACACACACAGGGTAAGTGTACAGAATTACTGCATAAACTAGAACTATGAATTAATACAAAGAATATTATATCTTGAATAAACATTCTACTGAAATAAATCAATGTTATAGTGTAGGAGTAGGTAGAAAGAAAGCTAGGGCTGGCCAGACCAAAATGTGGCACAAATCCATGAAGTCACTAACAAGTGTACTGAGCCATGTTGGTAGCTGTTAGACTACTTAGTTGGGATCCGCGAGATGATAACAATTGAACAAAGATCATGATGTGTTAAAATATAGGTTTGGCTTTATATCCCTTCACTAACTGCAAATATTCCAATCAAGATTATAGATTGAATACATTCCTTCCATCTTTATTTCTATTTTCTAAAGTCAATTCAATGTGTTTTCTTTCAACTCAACTCTTTTATGCAGGTATATTATCATATTTATTGAAGCAATAGAGAGAGTGAGGGTAATGATAAATCTCACGTTATATAGATTTATTTGTATATGTCCATGTCAAATATTTGATTGTTATCATTGATAGAACAACTGTCCATATGTCAACTATAGATACGTTTTCTCCCTATCAGTTCATTGTTATTGATTTTTGTTTGATCAGTTTTTTTTATCCGATATGTTTAGATACCAAGTATATAAAGAAGGAGAAAAAACAATACAGAGTCACTCTATTACAATTGTATGTTGAAGGGTATGGATTAAGATAGTTTGTCAATATACATAATATTTGATTGTATACTGTTTACATTGTCAATGGGCTATTCACCCTTATTCATACGATTCCAATATAATTTGAAAGTTATAGATATGCTTTTTATTATTGGGTATATTTGTAGTCTAATAGCTGGTAGTTGATATCTTGGTAGTTTATAAGTGTGAAGACAACCATCTGTTATTCAATGTTCAATATAATTGCAATACCTAACATTTTCGAATATCATTTCATTCATTTAATGTGTCACTGCTAGACATTTTCATTGGAGATTTCATTTCAATCATCTAAAGTTATCTACATATATTTAACCATGAACATGACATTATAGTGAATCCCATCTAATTCTGTTGAAAACAAATACATCGATAGACATTGACGCCATCGGATGCCGGCTCAGTGGTCTATCGGTTGAGTGCTATGGCGCGAGACTGGTAGGTCATGTGTTCGAATCTCGCGAGGTGCGATCGTGGATGCGTACTGCTAAGGCGTCCCAAAATACATTGATAGATAGATTTTGGAATGAAATTCTCAGAGAGAGAATTATGCTTTCATACGCAATATACGCTTACTAATTGATCGGCAAGTTACGAGAGAATGCCTGATACCTTACATATATTGAACACTGAAAAACTGATGAGCTACAAATTTACGGACATATATCCTATCTCCTTCATATCTATGTAGCCGTTCAATTGAGGCATCAAGACAAACGTACAGACATGAACGTACAATGATTTCAGGTTACAATATCAACTAACTCCTTGTTGTCATCAAGGCGTAATTTTCACTCTTTCTTTATGATTTGATTGTCAACAGGTGAGAGTTGTCCTTTTCTTAAAATATCAGTATCAAAGGTAAATAGACATTGATTAATTGTCCTGATTTAGTGTGTGCTATTGATGTTGACAGATTTAAGTAGTATCTATCACACATTGAAAGTGGAATGCCTGTTGACAGAAGGTTGAGAAGATCGAAGAGAAGAGAACGAGAACAGAGAGTGATTGGTATGGAAATGTAAGAATAATAAAGTCTGAAACAATTGATTTACATTTTGCAAATGAAGTATTTACTGCATGGCTCTCGTTCACTACACTAATAATTAACATTTGTGTGTTTAGTTTAATACGAACTTTTTGGAAATCTTTCAAATTTCTATAAAGTTCACTTCAAAATAATGTGAGATATGGATTGATGTACCATTTGAGTTAGATAAAGCAAGGTCTATTCTTCCTTTGTTGGAGTTCCAAGCTACAATCGTATGTTGATGTAAACATCGACTATTTATGTAGTATGTGTATGTGTAAACCGCTTTAATCGATTTAGATTCGAAAACTAATTAACTGAATAATGTTAGACTACTTGGCAAATGTATAGTTATACAAAAAATAATACTATAGTGTGTTGTAATTTCTCTTATTACAACCCAGCTACTCTTATTGGTTAGTACTCTTGGACACCAATTCCTTCGACAAGTCCCTAAATCAGAACACGGTTGAACAGGAAATAAATTATATTCCGAATAACAAGTGGTAGATGAAGTAAGAAGCATAATAAAAAAATACGTTAGTGTATTTATGGTTTTTAGATGAGAAGATTCTAGAGTCTTCTCCAAGCATTGACTAGCGCTGATTGTATAAGAATTAGCCAACCAGCGTGCACCAACCCAATCGTACATGGAACATGCTTTAATCCAATCGATGTCCCGCTAACATAGTGATGTATATATATAATTCGTTATATGTATATATATATATACTGTTTCTTTATAACATCCATATTTACCGGCGACATCCAAGACGAACTAAGCAGAGAAGTATATTAAGGGCTATTTTTAACGACTTCTAGTTAAAAACCTCCAATATTTTCCGTGATACCAACTAACTGATGGTATTATGTTCCTATACTTTGGATTCCTACAGCCCACGTAGTCATCAGTATAGAAGACTTCTTAAATATCATTTCTCATATGATATATATAAGGAAGAACACTATACAATTTCATGATTGTCACTTTCATGGGGAATGGGAAGACAGGGAAAAAGTCATTCTGAGACGAAACTCTGTGATAAATTGTGATATAACCATTAGAGTCAAATCCTACTTTCTTCAAACTCTTGGAGAAGAATATAAAAGTACTGTAATATCCTTGTTAATATCATGTTGATATTCCTCGGAATCTGGATTGTGCAGAGAAGGGGAATAACTAATGTGAATTGGGAAAGAATAAATGTTTCTGTATTTTTCGATCAGTGGTCAATATGTATACAACATCTAACATTGTTTCGTTCATTTAGAAGGTCGATCTTTTGTAGGAAATTATAATTCTTCCTCTGAGAATTTCATTCCAAACTCTAACAACCAATGTTTTTAAATTCACTTAATATTGTTTGTTTCAATATTCCCATTGATGTTTAAGGACTGCAACTGGTCAGTCTCTTATTGGCACAGTATTCACATATACCAATAAGAGACTGACCAGTTACAGTCCTTAAACATCAATGGGAAGATTGAAACAAACAATATTAAGTTAATTTATGCTTCACCGCATTACACAAGCAAGTGGCTATCAGGACTCAGTAGCTGAGCGGATAACGCAATGGCGTTTGAAGCGAAAGCTACTGGAGTTCGAGTCCCAGAGTGAACATCAACTGTGAGATACAGGTATACCCAGCTGACGAATCCCAAATAAGACGAAACGCGCGTCCTGGATTCCACTACTAGCCCCTATCCATCTTTGCTTAACATTGTTTTTGTTTTCAATTCAATGAGATTGGATTCACTACAATGGCATGTTTATGGTTAAGCATATGTAGATAGCTTTAGATGATTGAAATGAAGTTTCCAGTGAAAATTACACTCTTATATATAGTAGTTACACACTAAATGAATGAAATGGTGTACGAAAATGTTAGATATTGCAATTATATTGAACATTATAATAAAGATGGTTATTAGTTTTATTTAAACACATAAATGTTGGTACAAAGGGGCACCAGATATATATGCGCCACACAAATGTCATTTGATTTGTGTGAGGGCTGTGATACTGCCTGGGCGCCTCGACCGAAGCAAGTGATTTTCCTAGAGGAACACCTGAAGCTTTTGACCTAAAGATCTGATCCACGAGGCAGTGGAGCATCGTAAGGAGATGCAGTCCCTTGGTAGCCGATGACCAACAATTCCCTCAGGTTACTGGAGCCCATGTGCACCATTGGTTTGGACTGAGGGTTTCCCAACTCCCCTAAGTGGACTTTCCGTGTTCACCGACCCGGTTAAAGAGTCAGACATTCTCTGAATTCAGTAAACAAAAACATCCTCACATAGCGGATTAGTTTTACTCAATTACTAACTATGTCTTTTTTTTAAAGAAAAAAAGGTAGTTAAGTAATGAATGTAATGAATTTGTTACTTACACCAGATTCAACAATTTTCACCATAACATCTTGTAAACTATCTGTTTTTAAACATGTCAACGGAGCAGAATAACGCTATAATACAATGTAAAAAAAAGGAAATGGTCAATTGAATTAGAGGGTTTATAAGTTTATTGATTGGTTACATATTACTAGGTAACAAAATTCCCTTCATCAATCTAAGTAATTCGATATTTCTATGATGTTAGTCGTTAACCTGGGTGTATTTACAAACTTGAAGAGATTGAAGCTCTTTATGAAATTTAAGTCAACATCACCAAATGCTATATTCATAGATATTACTACTAAGCTTTTGGGGTTATGACTCCAATCTATTATTAAATGTTTTTCGAGTACACAGTGTTGGTCAAAGTATCAATTTTATCAAGATGACTGATAGACCTTACTGATGTGTGTCAACTGTCATGATATCTTAACCGTAAAGCGGTTCCCAACACTTGCCTCCAATAATTTAACATGCAGAGTTAATATATTTAACATTAAATCACCTACAATTTAGTTGTTAACAATAGATTAGTAATCAGAATCGATTGCGTTACTTGTATTATTCATTAAAACGAAAATATACCGTAAGACTTTTTCAGTGACCAAGGTGCATCCACTATTTGTGTTCTCTCAAATTCTAATCTTCTGAATTCTTCATACTTACTTACGCCTGTTACTCCCAATGCAGCATAGGCCGCCGACCTGCATTCTCCAACACACTGTGTCCTTTCTAGTTCTATTCAATCGATGTTCATTCTTCTCATGTCTGTCTCCATTTATCGGCGTAATGTGTTCTTTGGCCTTCAGGATTCCATGTGAGGACTTGCCTTGAGTGATTTCCTCAATGTTTGTCTTATCCACTTCCAGTGCCTCTTCCTGATTTCTTCCTCCACTGCAATCTGATTTGTCCTCTCCCACAGCAGAATGTTGCTGATAGTGTCTGGCCAACTGATCCGAAGTAACTTGCGTAGACAACTGTTGATAAACACCTGTATCTTTTGGGTGGTGACCTTCGTGGTTCTCCAGGTTTCCGCCCTATACAGTAGAACTGTTTTGATATTTGTATTGAAAATTCTGATCTTGATGTTGGTTGACAATTGTTTTGAGTTCCAGATGTTCTTCAGTTGTAAATATGCTGCTCTTGCCTTGCCATGAATTCTTCACATCTTTTTCTTTCTTCTCTCTCCAAATTTATTTCACTGGATTATACTCCTTGAATAACATCTTGAAACTCTAATCTATTCGATTACTGCTTATGGTCTTACTAACTCTACCACTATGGGATCTCAATCGACAACTGCATCACTGTGCTAATGTAGTATGGCAACTTGAATTTATATAAAAATCTATTAAAAATCATAGAACTTTAATTTAAATATAAACTTACATCACGATTGAATCGACGATATTCAAGTGCATCATATACACGAACATTTAAATTGTCATATGATCGTGTTATAGCCAAATTCTAAAATTAAGCATATTTTAGAATAGAAGTCATTTAGTTCATATTATTATCATTGTTGTTCTATACTATTATCCTGGTTCAAACTAAGAGAACAAACAAAACAAGGTAATCTGTTACCACTTGAACTAAGTAACCTAAAAGTGTTGTACTATAATGTGGTCTACTTATATCCATATAAGTAGTATATGGCGATGGTCAGACATATAATTCATTTTGGCAGAAGATCGATAAGGAAAGAACTGAAGTGAAGCTCAATCGGTAAGAAAATGTATGAACAATGAAATCAAAGACGATGGACTGATATTTGCAGAAGTAACAGCTAATATTGACACAATGGATTAAAAGTTTATAAATTAACTATTTACTGGATGGTCGTAAGATTTTGGTGAGATATTTTGTAATTTTGTGCTTAGATACATTCGATTGTCCCCAGTCGTTTTCTTGTTCACTACAGTACTAACTGAAAGATTGAAATGGTATAGTGAATGAACGAACATTCAAGTGGAGAAGACCAATTTATTGTTTAATGCACAATTATACATACATTAATAACATCATTTGCATATCTTCTTTAAATAGTCTCTTAGAAGCTTGATTATTTCTTTATTCCTGTTGTTAATTTGAAGGTTTAAGTTTCCTTTTCTCTTCTCTTCATTTCAATCTTTATAACTTTCTGCTCACAGACATTCCAGATACATATGCGCCACACAAATCTCATTTGATTTGTATGTGGGCTGTGATAATGCCCAGGTGTTCAAACTGATGCAGGTGGTTTTCTTAGAGGGCCACAACCGGAGCCTTTAAACTAAAGGTACAATCCACAAGGCAGTGGAGCATCGTAAGGAGATGCAGTCACATGGTACCCGGTGACCAACGATTGATTCATATGCCATTTGTTACCTCAGGATACTGGAACCCATGAGCACCATTTGTTTGGAATCAGGGTTTTCCAACTCCCTAGGTGGACTTTCCGTGTCCACCAACCCGGTTAAAGTGCCGGACATTCGCTTTTCGTCCTCTTAATTTCGCAAACAACACCCGTGGTGTGAGAAGGCAGTGAGTAGGACTTCTCTGACAGAGGTTATATACGCGTAGCCATGTGAGAGCATTTTGAGAGGGAGAGCGACCTCCCTCCACTCTCAGCCGTACTAGGGCATTTGGTGGCATACTACTTATATCTGCAAACATAAGTAACATGCACTTCAGCATGAGTTAGTAGCAGTACATCATGTCTCACTGATCTTCAAAATTATCAGAGAATAAAATTTGGTCAGTAAATTTAAAGCGTTATCCTTTATTAAGAGTAAAAATCATCATATAAATTTTTAACTAACCTTAAATTATGATGAAAAAAAGGATTAAATGGTTAGTGTCAATTGATTCAGTGATACACAGGATTATTCAGATCACGTAACACCATGATTTAAAATGTTGGGTAGATAAATTTCTACCATCTGGACTAAAACCTGTAAATGTCACTTTCATTTTAGTCATATTTTATCATTACGATTTGAGTCCTTTCTTATGTGGGTTTAAGGGTATGTGTTGCTAAGGGGGAGATCCTTTGTCACAATGAAACAGATGTCCTGTATTATTTGGTTTCCGGTTATTTTCCGCCCATTGTTGTTACAGAATATCACTGAATGATGGTGCCGTCATCATTTGCCTAACACTTTGTATGTCATTAATATCGGCCTATAAAAAATATCTACATTTGTACAGTTACCACCTTCAAATGAGTCCTTGAGATTTTCGGGTAATTGTCGCTGTCTATTTTCTTTTCTATTTTGCATTACTGTATGATGATTATTATAACAGAACAAATAGTGCAGAGTTTGGTTCTGGTTTTTTCGGATTATAATTGGTTGTAATTTTGTTGGTAAGCTTTCGGTCAACTTATAAACTACTGCCAAATGATTGACCATTCTCATTTTGTTGCCAATCTACTATTCACAGTCTTGCCTACTTATAGCCAGCCAATTTTGGCTTTTCATGAATGATTATTAGTTTTAATTTATGGTGTTATGTGGTCCTTTATGTCTGTATATAAACTGTGTCTGTTGAAATATAAATGTAGTAGAGGCTGATTAATAACTTTTGGACTCGAGGTTAGGCATGGAGAGGAGTTTGCGAATAGTAGATCTATAGAGGAACCAGGCTGACAGTTCAAGGTCCACAGTGCTGATTGGGCGTGTAACTGGACAAGTAACAGACTCTAAACTATAAGACAAAGAGCAGATACAATTAACTTTAAGATTCTAATTTGTAACTGTGCTCTTGATATTTGCTAGTGGCTTGGATCCGTTTATCCGGTGTAGTTGAAAATAATCATAGGTTGGTCGTTTAGTTAGTTGTTTTTCACTCCCGAAATGCGAATCCGACTTCGAATTACAAAAAAATTCCAAACTGATATTAGGCACAGAGAATCTTTCGAAATATCAGTCCACTGCGATTCACTATTTCCAACTATATTACCAATCGATGAGATCTTGTAATGTCGGTTACTATGTTAAGCCCGTATACCTTATTCTAGCTACTGGACAGACCAATTTATCCATTCTTCTTTAGTCATGTTTTGATCTTGTTAATTTATTCACTTACCAAACTTGACTGTTTTTATATGAGGGTATATGTGTATGTACACTTCTTATCCTATTCATCATATGTCTGTGGCTTATTTTATGTGACTATAAATATTGATTAACGCTTGATTAAATGGAGTTGGTTCACACGTATTTGAAATCCATTCTCGTACTTGACTTATTTTAATTCCGTTATAAACTAGCACGAGTTAAGTCGATGATTATATACGAGAATAGTCAGGATGTATAATTTGACAACAATCATTGATCGGAACAGACGATCAGAGACAAAGCGAAGGAAGCGGAGAAAAGAGAACAAAGTGAAATGACGTCCAGTGAGGAAGGCATATGAGCCAACTCCATTTAATCAAGCGTCAATCAATATTTATAGTCAAATAAAATAAGCCACAGACATATGATGAATAGGATAAGAAGTGTACACACACATACGCTCATATAAAAACAGTTAGGGCTGATAAGTGAATAACTAACAAGGTCAAAACATGACTAAAGAAGAATGGATGAATTGGTTTGTCCAGTAGCTAGAATAAGTTATTTGGGCTTGACATAGTAACCAACACTACAAACTAAAATGGACCAGCATGCAGAAGGAATGACTTCAAATCCAGTCAACAGAGTAAAGATACAAATAATTCCGTTTGTTCGATTCGATAAGTAGAAGAATTAGACGTGGAAAACTTTTAATAACTATCTCATTTGACGAAATTTATCAAGTTAAATGAGACATTCACATCTATTACCTGAAAATCTATATCAGACCATAGAATAGTCCATTTAATGGCTTAACCGAACAGAGTGTTCACTTGGTGTTGTATACTAGTATCTTCCCATTGTTATTTAGGACTGCAATTGATTAGTCTGTTGTTGGCATATGTCCATCCTGTGCGGCCGGCCTCGATACTGCATGAAGTCACAAACTTTATAAGCAAAGATGGATAGTGGCTAACCTTGGAATCCAAGATGCGCATTTCGACCTATTTGCGACTCTTCAGCTGGATAAACATGCATCTCGGAGTTGATGTTCACTCTAGGACTCGAACCCAGTACCGTTCACTTCAAATGCCATCGCGTTATCCACGCGCGTCCTGGATTTCACTGTTAGCCACTATCCATCTTTGCTTACAAACAGAGTATTGTTCTGAGATTTAACTGTATTGGACTAATAAAAATGCTTATTTTTTTTCATATCTTGTAATAACAAAGTAGAGGAATAACGGTTTTACGGCTGCCAACCTGATTTATATATTCAAATAATATTTCATAAATAATACTGATATTTCATAATTGAAACGTGAGTCAATTGAAGCTAGACCACCATGGAAAACCTGGAAACACTGGACGGCCGTTTCGTCCTATTATGGGATTCCTCCTCTAGTGAGAAGCAGTGACCAGTGAAGTTCAAAACCACGTCTGTTGTGAGATAGGAACTCACTGAAGACAATTGGTGAATGGTTGCTCAACTTCGTGGATCAGTTGAAGTTAGACATTAACACCGTTGGATGCCAGCCCAGTGGTCTATCGGTTAAGGGCTCCGGCTCGAGACTGGTAGGTCCTGAGATCGAATCTCGCGAGTGCAGGGTTGTGGATGCGCACTGCTGAGGAGCTACATAATAGAACGAAACGGCCGTCCGGTGTTTCCAGGTTTTCCATGTTGGTCTAGCTTCAATTGACTTACGCTTTCAACTATGAAATATACTAAACCTCCACAAAAACCCCTTCTGATAACTGATATTTCCCTGAAGTACTATGGAGTGTAGAATGATTGTCAATTAAATTTTAACTCCATTGTTTTTTATGATTATCTACAGGCTACATTTATTTTTGATCAGCCGTTTTGATATCCATTAGTAAACATCACAGTTTGAATTGTATTCCATCTTAATTTATGTCAAGTCTATTTTACTTCAAGCAATAGTTTTTTTCTTATCGGAACATTTTTTCTAAAATTGAGGTTAACTACTTAATACAACTACTTAGTAGCATAATTATACTAAACTAATTTTATCAACACAACTCGGTCAACGAAGTCAAGAGGTGTAATATAGGTCACTCGTTTCGTTCTTAACAGTTAGCAGCTGCGATCTCTCACGTGGAACTCCAACTCAAGACCTTCAGTCCCGCAAACGAACTCTCAATACCTAGACCATTGAACCGGCATCCAACAGTGTTAATGTTCAACTTCAATCTATCCATGATCTTACTCAACCATTCATCCATTGTCTGAGGTCGATAACTGTTTCCATCCGGCACACACGCGCTCGCACACGAGACTGAAGGTTCTGGATTCGAGTCCCACGTGAGGGATCGTAGATGTGTATTGCTCATCGATCCCATACTAGAACAAAACGATCTTCTAGTGCATCCAAGTTTTGAATGCTGATCTTTGACTCCTGAATTCAACTATTACATTTACTACGATCTCCACAGATCCCCATTCAGATATGAATTTACTTAAAAGAGTTTATATTTTCCCGTAATTAACTCTAAAGACCAAAGTTGTCCAGTAATTATTCAAATAAAACTCAAAAAATAAACTTACAATCACATCAAATTTTGCATAAATTTCAATAAGTTGACCATCTTCATCATTAACAATTGGCAAACATGATACTTGATATTTCAGAAATAATTTTAAAGCTTCTATAATTGTTGTATTATTTGTAATTGTTTGAACATTTGGTATATAAGTGCCTAGTTTAAGTTCATGTAAACTCTTTGACATAAATTTGACTGGAGATAAATTATGCCTCTGAAAAAAAACACAAGAAAAAGGAACTATACAGAAAAGCAAACATAAATGAGAATAAAGAAAAACAAGGTGTAAACGAAAGAGTAGGTTAAGTAGAAAAAGTTTGACAGTTATTCATTCTTGGTCAGTTGGGTCTATTCAATAATAACAACTGAACGACCTCGTTAAAGGATTGAACTCAGAGAACTCTCATGGTAAGTTCAGTATTTACAATAAGTTAAGTACGAATTTCCATGAGACCTTTTGACATTGTGTGAAAAATTATTTAAAGTTCTACTCAGTAACCATTTATGGAATTTTAATTTTCTTCAATTCAATGAAAGAGATTGTCATTAACTGTTGATGGATTTTTAGAATAAAGGGGTCTAGAATTCAGTGATATTTACTTGGATTCACCTTTTCTTTACATTTCATTAAATATGTTATATCTGAGCTTTAGATTCTTACTATGCCGCGTACTACTAGACTAATTGAACGATCGGATCCTCAACGTCGCAAGAGAGAAGACAGAAGACTAGTAAGTAGGAATGTTATTCCCAAACAGTGTCAAATATAGTACAAAAATCTCATATATTTATAGTTTTTGGCTGAAAGTAAATCATTATTTCGGACAGCCAATAGGCACATAGGGGGTCCTTCTTATTCATCCAATAGGGGTGTTACACGTCGACATTTTAGGATGTTCCTCGAGCGTTGATTGGATGGAATGTCTCCGGCTCTTTCTGGGCTTCATGAGGTTTCTTTGAGATTACCAACGAGCCATCCTTACAAAATACAATAGTACTTTACAGCATTTTTAGATTTTTTCTTTCCCGATATTTTGAAAGTAGCTCATTTACTATGAAAAATTTTGCTAGCTCTGACTTGAGTCACACATTTTCATATGAACGTTAATGGCACTAACTCAACTGTCCAAACCAAAGTAGACGAAATTGAGTTTAAACTTATGACATACTTGTTGTAAACGGAATTTTTTAACTACTAAGCTACGCCTATAACTATGATATATAAAGGAAGAAGTGGAAAGCTGTTCCATTAGTAGTGCAAATTCATGACTCTATTGCTAGGGATCAAACCCCGGACTTTCTGTCTCGCGCTCGAATGCATAACACCACCGAGTTGGGATCCAAGGGTGTTAATATCTAACTTAAACTAACCCACAGTATTGAACGACCATCTTCCATAGTCATTTGTGAGTACCTTCCTCACACCTGACGTGATTGAACTCATCTGATCATGGCTTCTCACTAGAACTTCAGCAATTTCCTTTCTAAGCTAGTCATAAGTGAAGACATGACAATTGTCAGTATAGGATTATTGTAATTGTTGAGTTTCATTGAAACCACTAACCAGTCTAATTCGGATAACCAATATCGTGGGCTGATTGGAGTTGAACTTGTAAACCATTTGACCTCGGCTCGTTAATCTAGAGATTAAGCGTTTTCTCGCAGAACCGAAAGTCTTTGGTTCGGTAACCAGTTATAGGAACACTGATTTCTACTGCTGGGGATTCGTACACTAGGACCAAAATGGACGTCCAGTGTTTCCAGACTTTCAATAATGATCCTAAATTAGGTCAATTTATGATTTCGATGAAAATGAACAATCTTCAAAATCTTATACTGATAATAAACAACTTTCATTTGTATACAAAATAGTACTAACATTTAAATGTAAATACTTTAATATCCGTTTATGTGTTAATATATGTAATGCATTGCCATGTAATGTATCAATAATAGGTAATCGATGAAAACGATATTGTAATAACATTCTTGATGCATCCAATAATGAACATTCAGGTGTAACATGAACTAATGGGATTGTAGTGAAATTTTCATTGATTTCTGTATTAAAAAAAGAAAAAAAGAAAGAGGTAAATATAGATGAGAACATTTTTTAGTTTATTATTGGAATCAAGATAGTTTATCATGAAGTGAGTCACTAGTAATTAGTTGTCAATTATAATTATTACTATTATTAGCTTAAACGGTAAGTAGAGAATATTTAATCCTTTGGTAAATTCATCAGTAAGCATACTTTTGATGAGTCTCGCGATAAGACGAAACAACTATCTAGCGTTCGTTGGTTTTTTTTAAAAATATTTATATAGGCTTTAAACTATCTTCAAAGATGAAACGTTTGCACAAACACCCTTGTCATTACATTTTAGATATATACTTCTCATAAAAATTGAACGGTTACTAGAGTTATCCTTAGTTATCTGCTATGACCATGTTCGGTGTAGCGTAGCCGTACACACCGGTTAAAAAGAAAACAGATTTAGTAAATTTACTTAGCATTGTTTGCTTGTATCTTCCCATTGATGTTTTTAGGACTGCAACTGGTCAGTCTCGAATTGGCATATGTGCATACCTTGCGTATTGCCTCGATATAGCTTAAATTCACAAGCATTATAAGCAAAGATGGATAGTGGCTAGTAGTGGAATCCAGGAAGCGCGTTTCGTCCTATTTGGGACTCGTCAGCTGGATGTACCTGCCAAATCTCACAGTTGATGTTCACCCTGGAGTTCGAATCCAGTACCTTTTGCTTCAAACGCCATCGCGTTATCCACTCGGTCCTGGGTTCGAGTCCCAGAGTGAACATCAACTCTGAGATGCGGGTACATCCAGCTGACGGGTCCCAAATAGGGCGAAACGCGCGTCCTGGATTCCACTGCTAGCAGCTATCCATCTTTGCTTACCAGATTTAGTAAATGTTAGGATTTCTAGTGAAATCTTTTATGAAAATCATACTTTAAGATGGATCATTGAAATGCTAAATAAACGGAAAATTGACTGAAAGTCCTCGGTACGACAAGTGGAGTAAACTTTGAAAATAGTCTAGAATGTCAATGATTTATTAGTTATTTTATAATCGATTCCTGTTTGTTGTAACCGAACAAGACACTAGTGTAGGCACTAACCGCAGAAAAACTGATACTTGTCATTTGATACAACTGGACAGTCGATAAGAGGAAAAACGTACAACTGCAAATGAAGATACTATAATTCAGTCAATCAGTCAGTTATCACCAACATAGCAGCTGTCACAGATGTACGCTGGCCTGAAGTTCTATACTGAATTAACACAACGAGTTGAAATTTACAATGTCTATAGTAAAAGAGATTGGAATAATATAGTAGTAATGACAATGAAAAAGACTAAGCATTGAGAATCGGGTACAAAAGTTACAGTAGAAAGGTATATACAAAGAAATACCGTAATTTAAGATCGAGAAAAAAATATAAAAATTGAATGTACTAACAGTAAATCTACAACTGACCAATCACTGATCAAAAACAAACTGAGTTATATGTCACTTACTTTCTTGGTCAATAGTAACATTTGAACACATTAAACTACGCAGTATTTGACGCAAATCAATCAAGAACTTAATGGGCGTATACAATCTATAATAACAGTATATTAATTTTAATAGTAGAGATCATGAATCAATTGAAGCTAGACCACCATGGAAAACCTGAAAGCACTGGACGACCGTTTCGTCCCTTCTGATATTAATCAATAAATGCTCATTAGTGGCTGGCTTCGTGAGGTATTTTCTAGAGTTCTAGTGAGAAGCAGTGACCAGTGGAGTTCAACCAGGTCTGTTGTGAGATTGTAACTCACTGAAGACATTGGTGGATGTGTCGCTCAATTTCGTGGATCGGTTGAAGTTAGACATTAACATCGTTGGATGCCGGCTGAGTGGTCTAGTGATTAAGCGCTCGCGCGCGAGACTGATATGTCCTGGGTTTGAACAATGATATCCCATAAGTGGTTAATATTAATGAACTAAAATAGTGGTTACTAATTTTTATTTACAGTATGGGGATTTATTTATTTATTTGAACACATAAATATTGATACAAAGGGGCACCGAATACACATGCGCCACACAAGTCACTGGATTTGTGGGTTGTTATACTACCCTGGTGCCCAAACCGAAACAAGTGATTTTCTTAGGGGGCCACACCCGGAGCCTTGGAACAAAAGGTCTGATCCACAAGACAATGGAGCAACGTAAAGAGATGTAGTCCCATAGTAGTCGGTGACCAACAATTGGTTCATACGCCATTTGTTCCTTCAGGATCTTGGAGTCCATGTATATCATTGGTTTGGAATGAGGGTTTTCCAACTTCCCTAGGTGCATGCTCGTTATCTGTCAACCCGGTTAAAGCACCGCGAGAAGACAGTGAGCATTACTTCCCTGACAGTGGCTGTATATGAGTGGCCATGTGAGATCGTTTGGACGGAGAGAGCTAACCCTCCCTACCCTCCGTCGTACCATCTCATAATTTAAGCTAGACATCCGTCTCCCAGATTTTAGCCAGAATATTAGTCAACCTAATCGCTAAAATCGGACCACCATATTTAAAGACTTCTGGAGCCAATCCATCTGGACCAGCTGCTCTTCCTCGTTTCAGATTACCTATAGCCTTTTGAACTTCAAGTAGGGTCGGGTGGCCTACTTCAATGTTCCATTCAGACGGTCTGGGAATAATGGGTAGTTGTGCAGTAGCTGAAGGCCAGCTAAACTGCTCCTTAAAGTGTTCCGCCCATCGTTCTAAACGTTTAGGTTGAGAGCAGATAAGGGTTCCGTCTTTTTCCGAGATTGTCTCACTCACACTTGACTTCTTAATTCCGGTTTCTTTTATTGGTCTGAATAGTTGCCTGGTGTTGCCTACAGCCGCTGCCTTTTCCATCTCTTTTGCTTTCGTTGCCCACCACTGCTCACGATCGTTCCTTAGACTTTTAGTTAACCTAGATCTAATTTCTTTACGCTCTTCGTCATGTTCAGAGCCTGATGGTATGAGTTTACGCGAATCCATCAGTGAAATAGACCTAGAAGAAATCCACTGGTTTTTTGGAGCCCTATGGTTTAAATGACTAATAGATGTTACTGCTGTTTCCACAGCTGTTCGTGTGTCTTTCCAAGCAGCATCTGGGTCAGTCTCGTTTACAAAACTGCCTAGATGTGAACTCAGTTGCTCCTGGAATTCGCATTTGGCTTTCTCGTCCTCCAGTTCAATCCTAATGGGTCTTCTTAGTGTACTTTTCCTGCGTCCATTGAGGCGCAGACAAATGCGTGCTCGTATTAAAGCGTGATCAGAGTCTAAACAAGTATTCCAATACGAGCGACAATCTTCTATTGAGCCTCTCCAACGATGACTGATGACAATATGGTCTATTTGAGTCCATCGTTGGTTTGGTGCAGGTGGTCGCCATGTTAGACGATGTCTCTCCTTATGTTTAAAATTAGTGCTTGCTAAAAATAAACGATTGTCTGAGCATAGTTTCAACAGACGATCCCCATTATCGGTTCGTTGAGCCGGAATACTAAAACACCCACCTAAATGTCTTTCTGTTTGATTTAAGCTGCCTACCTGGGCATTAAAGTCACCCGCTACGACTACTATGTCTGAGCGCTTAGCTTTCTGAAGAAGCTCAGAGAGCTTTCTGTAAAAGTCATCTTTTACTTCATCATGGCTGCAGTCAGTGGGAGCGTAGGCAGAAACGACGAAAAGGCAACGACGTGTGTCCCTATCCTTCCGAGTTCTTATGGAGCCATTTAGCCGGACAGCACACAGGCGACTGTTAACGGGGATCCATTCTAGTAGTGCCTGTTCTGCCCTTGTACTTAGTGCTATGCCTACACCTGCAAGTCCGCGAGAACTAGCCAACGGGTCGCCAGATACACGGAGGGTGTATTTCGTCGGCTGTCCATTTTGGCGAGGTGAGGTCAAGTGAATGACCACAGTGGGATCCTGTATGCGTGTTTCGGAGACACAGCATACATCAATGGTACGAGATTCTAGAGTTTTAGCTAAGGAGGCCTATTGACCGATTTGACTTAAAGTACGTACGTTGAAGGCCCCAATGTGTAGTTTGGAGCGAGGTTTTAGTAGACCTGGGACAGCGTTCCGCCCACTAGAATCGTTGGCCATGGTGACACTTGAGGAGGAAACCGAGAGAGGAAGTTTAGTGTTGAAAGTCAAGGTAGAAGGAATAGTAGGAAGTAAAGAAGGAGATTGATTATGAATACAGTGGTCTTGAGTGTTGTTAGAGGTATGAGGGCAGTTATCACTTCCCGGTTGCCCACACCGTGGAAGGATTCTTCTAGAGGTACCCGAAAAGGAAATTGGGTTAGGAGTGGTCTTAATGACCTGAGAGCGTGACCGCAGTGCCCAAGGGACATCTGCTTGAGGTCGGTCACACACGACCTTTTTGTGGGTAGTTTTTGTGTTAGCTCCGTTCTTCAAAAAAAAAAACCTTACCGCCGGAGACGGATATCCGTGGGATAAGGCGAGGTGTGCATTTTTAGGGCCGACCTTTTCTAACCCCACCCCTCCTTGTGGGAAGGCAGCATCGCTGTCATGCTGGTTGTTTGAAGGAAACACCTTACTGCCGTCACACCTCTGTACAGTCGACAGTACGACTTCGCCTTCGGACCTTGGGTTTGCTGCTTTTAGTCTCACCGCTCTTCAACCGACCTGTCTGGCATGGTAGGACCTCGAGGAACGACTGTTCCAGCCAGCATAGCTCGATTGCTTCATCACGATAGGCAAGCCCGACCACCACGTCAAGGTAGCAGCAACGATCGGGTATACATTTGTTTCTTTTCTAACAATCAATTATACTTCTGAAATCTCAAAGTAACCTATACTCCTATAAAGACTTGATTAAGTAACGTTAAATGACAGAGTTAAAGATCATTTATATGTTAGTTATTGCTATTTTATATAGTTGAAATCATGAGTCAATTGAAGTTAGACCACTATGGAAAACCTGGAAGCACTGGACGGTCGTTTCGTCATATTGTGGGACTATTCAAAAGTGCAC